AAGATTCATAAATATCTTTTTTTGGAGGTTGTTTTTTCTTGTTCTGACTTGCCACTGACTCAAGTGCATAATAGTAATAAATTATTATTATTATTACTACAACTACTACTACTACTACCACCTGTGAACCATCTCAGTATGCATCAAAAGCATGTGACAGAGACTGTGTGCATGCATTCATTCCCAAATGGGTGCTTTATCTTGATTATTTTTCATCTATCTTTCCGCACCACAAAACGATTTCTGTCACTCTACATTTGCATATGGTCTTGGTGTTTACTATTCTATTTTCATGCACTGAGCTTAGGTGTCTTTTGTATCAGAATTACACTTTCAGCCTTATGGCATATGAAATTACCTGCATTATTCAAAAGCACAAAATTAAAAAATATACCAAGCACCGAGGGTAGACAATGACAAGTAAAGCCAAGTTACTCCAGTGACTCTGTAATGAAGAGAGGTAGAACGATGAGGTATTCTAAGAAAACAACTGTTTAAAAGATGGATATAGGAGATTATGTGCTAATTTTATGGATGACCATTAGGACCTAAGGCTCCTAGACCCACATTAAAAATATATTTCCCATTTCTATTTCAGATTAAGTTCTTAATCACAATAGTCCTGCTCTGGGTAAGCTTTAAATAAAAGAAATGAAAATCTCATCAATTATAACCTCCGTAGAAGGTTAATTTAAAAGATTGTATGGTTGTTTCCTGGATTGATTTGGATTAACTGACTAAGGTATTGCCCAAGCAATAATACTAATATTAATATATAAGCTCAATATTTTCTACTGTATTAGAGAGATTAATATCTGAAATACTTGAATTATGTACTGAATGTGATAAATGATTTAGCATGAGAACAACATTAAAAACAGAGAAGAGTAAGCCTATGAACCGTTTAAGGTTAATTATTTTATAGGTTAGTTGATGATAGATATAAATTACTATTTAGTATGGAGCCAGATAAGCCTCAAAAATAATACATTTACAAAACAAAATTCATAAATGCACAGCACAATTTACATTTACAAAATCAGATTCGTAAATTCAAAACACAATTCATAAATACACAAGTAAAAGCATAAATATTTCCCCAAATGCTCACACAAAAGCATCTTACCTAAATACATTTAAAATGTTTACACAAATATGTATATATCAAGTTCTTGAATTAATTTCCATCACACATTTATGAATGATGTTACATGTATTTATGGATCGTTGAATCTGCATTTGCAAATTGTCACATGTGCGTGGACTGCTTTGAATTTGTGTGTGGTATTTTTGAGACCTTCCTTGCAGGTTAAGATTCATAAATATCTTTTTTTGGAGGTTGTTCCGTTCAGCCAATCGCGGTGAGCTTTGAATCCACCAATCAAAACACTCTTTACTGAACAGACTCAAGAAGCTCAACGCTCTGCTTGTACTGTGCATTGTTACATGATCGGGTCCTTGATGTAAAGACATTTTAATAGGCAGTGTTGGGCAAGTTACTCTGAAAATGTAATTAAATTACTGATTACTTTTCATCCTCCATGCTGAAATCTCTTCGCTTGTGTGTGTTCGAAATCTCCCTTAGGTGGTTATAGCTGTTTTTAATGCCCGATCAAAAGTTACTGCGAATCTGATACTACTACTACTAACAACAGAACACATTACATAATTGTTGTTATTAAATGAAATATCTGGACATTTAACACTTATTTAATAACATTACAAATTGATCTGAATAAACAGGGTATGTGCAACTTTGGTGTATAAGACAGCAGGCTAACCGGGTAGCTGTATTTTGTGTGAACGATATAAATCATAATGTGATTAGGTAGAAATTGTAATCAGGTGCTAAAAAAAGAATACACATTAACAGTGTTGGGCAGTAACGCATTACTTTAATTTGATTACTTTTTTAGTAACGGAGTAATTTAATGCATTATAATTTTCAAAATAGTAATTAGAGTATAGTTACAAGCCGAGGTCTCTATACGTTACTGACGCGTTACATTGCTGACAGAATGCAGTGTTTTATAATGTAGAGATTGTAAAAAGGATGTAGCACACGCACTGTCGAGTCAAGTGCCAGTGGATTAAAGACCTGCACCCACAAGACCCGACACAACAGAGCGCGGCGCGGGACAAGACTTGATAGGTGAGTGCAGAGACTCGTGTGTGTGCGGGATGCGGGAGAATAAAATGATTTGGATTAAAAGCTCACCGTGACTGGCTGAACGGAACATCCTCCAAAAAAAGATATTTATGAATCTTAACCTGCCAGGAAGGTCTCAAAAATACCGCACACAAATTCAAAGCAGTCCACGCACATGTGACGATTTGCAAATGCAGATTCAACGATCCATAAATACATGTAACATCATTCATAAATGTGTGATGGAAATTAATTCAAGAACTTGATATATACATATTTGTCTAAACATTTAAATGTATTTAGGTAAGATGCTTTTGTGTGAGCATTTGGGGAAATATTTATGCTTTTACTTGTGTATTTATGAATTGTGTTTTGAATTTACGAATC